TTAGGTGTATGTGGCTGGCACCTTAGCCACTTGAGCCACAGGCGCCGAGCTGAAATTGCCATTCTTAAAATCTGTGTATAGGAGCGGATTTTCCAAGAGCTACTGAATTACAAAATTCGAGCAATCTTTGATTCAGCAATTGCACTTCTAGGGATTTGTTCTTCAAAGATGCTCACATATGTAAGCAATGGTCAGTGTGCATGGATATTCACTACATCACATTTGTTACAGTAAAAGGCTGGGAACTACACCAATGCCTATCAACAGGGGAATATTGTGATAAATTATGGAATTCCATATGAAGTATAAATTCCTTATGATGGAATCCTATACAGCTAGCACAGAGGAGGAAATAGAGATCATTACTCCTACCACAAACTGAATCAGTACAGAGATACTAAGAGGTAATTTGGCATTAGCTATTATACTTGGAAATGTTTACATAATATCCTCAACAGAAGGGTAAGCTGGACAAACTGTGAGCTGGTACACAGCACTCAGAAGAAAGAGCTCTAAGACACATGGTTGAATGAAAAGAACAAGTGACAGTACATATATATAGACACACACATACACATAGACAGTATTGCCAAGAGAAAGGTCTAGAAGAGCTAGAAGTGGAAGAAGAGATTAGGTTTAAAGGAGAGGATAATAGTGAACTTAATCTTCCCCATAATGTTTTGTTTTGTAAAAAAGGAAAAATATCTAATTCCTTCCATTGTCTTTTCAATTCAAAAGGAACTTTTTAAAACTTTATATTGGGCTGGGTGCTGTGGCTCATGCCTGTAATCCTAACACTCTGGGAGGCTGAGGTTGGAGGATCGTTTGAGCCCAGGAGTTTGAGGTTGCACCAAGCTATGATAATGCCACTGCATTCTTGTCAAGGCAACAGAGTGAGAGTCTGTCTCAAAAACAAAAACAAAACTTGATATTCAAAAAATTGAAAATATCTTAAGGCTATATGGTCAGTGTGCATACCTGAGCACTGTGTATATGTGCCTAGTTGTGCAGAAACAGAATGAAAGAATGCACAGGGGAGAGAGTCTGAGCAGATGAATGTGGTATAGATTGAACATTGTCTGGAAGGACACAGGAGCCATTGAAGACAGGAAGGGACTGAGATGCTGACACATGATGGAGGCTTAACCCTCTTGTGCTGCTTGAATACTTACCAGGTACATAATTTTTTTGAATTTGAAGGCAGCACAAAAACAGGACTTCTGTGCTGAGCAAAGCCTTGAAAGTATGTCAATACCTCCAAAACGTCTGTACAGTCCGACATCTCCTCTCCATCCCTCAGCCCTTAGACCAGAATCTATTTCCTGGACCCACAGTTCCCAACATATCCCCTCCATTTTGTCTTGATATAGCCCCAGAAAGATATTTCTGATACCCAGATCTGACCTATACCTTCCCCATTCAAATATATACCATGGCTCCCCACTACCGTCCTATTTTAGTTATAGACCTTCCATAAAAGAGAAAAATTGCTGTCCAGCTGCAAGAAGTGCAATGGGTTGCCAGTCCCCAGATATAGAGCTCCAAGTTCTGCTGCACCATTCAACCAAGGCCACACTTCAGGGCCACCCCCAGCCAATGAATGAGCAGGGTTGTGCCCTAGTGCCTCACCATTTCCCCTCAATGTCTGACTTCCCTAACAGCAGCCTCCCTCCTCGCATTTAGCTCTGATCTCATATCAGCTTCCCTAAGGACTTGAATTGGTACATCTCAGGTTAAAGTCCAATCTCTTTACAAGGTTCTCAAAACATTCCAAGGGGGGGCTTCCATTAACTGCTCCAGCTTCCAATGAGAGCCTCATTGGGAGCCTCTACCTGTTCCTCACACTGCATTTCACAAGGATTCAGGCATCATTCCTCCCCCCATCTCCCATACTTGCTAGAATGTCATGCACACTTTCATGCTGGCCTTTCACAGCTTTCCCCTTAAGTATAACCACTGTCCTGTACCCACACCCAACTTGGTGAATTTGTGTTCACTTCTTCCCTCCCCAGTCTTGCCTCCATTTCCTTCTGCCTCAGCTTAGCCCATGTAGAATTAAGATGGGATTGGACACTGAGCTGGGAAAGGCCAGGCAGTATGGATGTTTTTCTGAATGAAGAGATGGATGACTTTTATCCACTAAGATCTTTGGGAAGCCATGGAATAGGCTGTGAAGTGGGAATTAGAGGCAATAGCAAATATCAAAAATAGTAAAGTCTTGGGGAAAAAAACACAACTACAGGCAGAAAAGCAAGTGGGCAGAGGAGCAGTTTCTGTACTGAATACATGCAGGGTGGCCCATGCTTTATATACATTGTCACTGAAGCTATAAGAATACTGAGGTAGAAATTTTCCTCATTTACAGAGAAGAAATGGGGTTCAGAGGAGGAAATCAATTGTACTAATGTTGCATAGCAGGCTAGTGAGACAATAGATATGGACTCCCAGAATTTCCTGCCACAAAGCATGTTAGTTTTCCCTTCTTAACCAAGTGAGGTACCAGGCCCTGCTTCTGAGCTCTGATTTTATTCCCACTAGGTGATAATGGCAGAACCAGCAAGAACATGTTCCCTTTTCCCCACCTGGGGAGCAGAGCCAACAAGAGAGGGTTCAGGAATAGACCTTAAGGACCTGTACTCACCATTCAATCTCTTTAAGCTCACGGTCTTTCAGAAGCTCTCTCACCTCCTGCCGGCAGCGGTCCTGGTATTCTGGGTGTCTCGCAAGGTTGTACAGGATCCAGGAGAGACCACTGGCTGTGGTGTCATGGCCTGAGGAACAGCCAGGCAGGCTTGAGTCTCTAGGCTGCTTCAGCACCAGGGGGTGGACAGTGCCCAAATATTGAGGCCCTCAGGGAGGATGGGAGGAGGGAGAGGATGACAGAATGGAGTGATCCAGGGTCCACCCACCACATCCCTGGGATGGAGAGGCCCCTGTTTCCACTGTAGTCCCACACCAGGACCCTCACCTGCAAACATGAAGGTATCAGCCTCTGCTCGTATGCTCTCATCTGACAACTCCTTCCCATTTTCATCCTAAGACAAGGCAAAACTTCCAAATCACACCAGCTCTGAGGGCACTTGAGTCTAACCTGAAATACTCTTGAAGACCCATCAGCCAAGCAGAATGCCTCTCTTGTCATCTCCAGACCTGCCCCACATGCTTTTAATTGATCTCCAGCCTCCTGCTTGCTCTTTCCAGGCAGCCTTTTACAGAGTCACCTCTGCAACTTACCTCTCACTTGTCCCTCCCTTCCTCAAGTACCTTTAATGGCTCCCAAGGGCCCTCAGATTAAGTCCAAGCGCATGTATCTGATATTTGACATCAATATCTATTCTACTTGTTGAATCCAGATTACAGTGAGGCCCACCTTGCTCAGCAGAAGTACGTCAATGAAGTCTAAGGTTTTGGATTTGGTCTTGGCTTTGAGGATGTCATCAACACTCTGGTGCTGGAGGGTGCGACGTCGTTCCTGGATGATGGTGTCTGTGAACTCATGCACCATGTTGCAGGCCTTACGGAAGCGCCGTCCATCCGGAGTGAGGTAGTACAGAAAGTCCAAGTGCAGGAAGATCTGCCGGTATCGTTTCACTATGAGGGCACTAAGCTCCAAGATGGCAGCAATATATTCACTAGGATTCCTGAAGGGCCAGGGCAAAGAGAGGAGGCACAGCCTTAATACATGAAACCCTGAGACCACCTCCAGCCAGAATCCCAAAACCACGTTCCATCCAGAAAAAGGTGTCTCCAAGCCCACTTCTCTGTCTCACTTCCACAGTCTGTGAGCTGCCTCATGTCCCAAATCCTCTTGGGTATCATGCCTGCCTCTATCTATCTATCTATCTATCTATCTATCTATCTACCATGTTTCCCCAAAAATAAGACCTACCCAAAAAATAAACCCTAGCAGGATTTCTATGCATTTGTTAAATATAAGCCCTGCCCTAATAATAAGACCTAGTAATGGGCGTGGCTATGCAGCATATCTGCATAGTCACGCCATGCATTTCAGCGCAGAGCAGTAAGGAAGACTGGAATACCTTTTATCTGCCACAGCTCCTTTCTCTGAGCTGTTCGCACTTGCGCGGGTGCGCAGGTGGTAACTGCAGTCGCAGGCATCCTATTGCGCAGGTGCTAACGGCTAGGGGAAAGGAGTTCATGTATCACTAGCTCCAGCCCCACCAACAAGGTTGGCTCCCCCTGTCAGGTTCCAGAAGAAGATGACTTAACTGTATTTGAATAAATGTAGATTGTTGTATTTTACTTAATAAAAATAAGACATCCCCTGAAAATAAGCCCTAGTGTGTCTTCTTGAGGAAAAATAAATATAAGACGGTGTCTTATTTTTAGGAAACACAGTATCTATCTATCTATCTATCTATCTCTCCCTCTCTCTCCCTCTCCATCTAGTTCTGCCCATTCTTCCTCAGTTTCTCCTAAAACTTCCCCATTTTCTCCACCAAGCTCAAACTTCCTCCCCTCCATGGTCCTGATTCTCATGTCTACGTGACAGTCACTACTCTACAGAGCCAAATGTCCATGATAAGGCCCAATCATGACTCTTATCTGCTCAAAGAGTTTCCATGGCTCCCCAGGATAAAGTTCATACCCCTTTGCCTGACTTTCAATGCCTCAGGACCTAGCCAATGCTGACCTGCCCCCTAGCCCTCATTTCCAAGGCGTCTCCTTACTAACTATTGAACATGCTCTGCTCATCCTAGCCTGCCTCCTTACCTTTACTCACAGTTCTACCTGTGTGAATAACTGCTTTTTCTCCTCTTCCCTGTTTTTAATGCTTCCCATCTCTTCTGAGAAGGCTCTTCTGATTGTCCTGGTCAGTACTCCCTCCTCTACTTAACCACATGTTCCCAGGCCCTGGGCAAAGACTCACTCCTGGCAATCGCTATCGAAGCTGAAGACACATTTCTGAAGAATGTCCAAGGTCATGAGGCTGATGTGCTCAAACATGTCCAGACAGGCGCTGCCTCCCGAGACCAGGCGCTGCCACTTGCCCTAGCCAGAGAAGGAGACAAGGCTGAAATCAGTCTCTAGCTCCCTTGAGCCCCTCCGCAGCCCCAACCACTAGGATGGACCCCTAAGAACCAGCCTTCCAGTCTTCTGCCTCAGATCCTCTTCCCTAGGCTTGGGTGAAAGAAGCTGTTACTACTCAGAGTTGGAGACCCCAAGGCTGGGACTCAGGAGACTTGAGTTCAAGTTTCAGCTCTGCTTCCTATTCTCTGAGTGCCCTCGGTCAACTCATTGGCCTCCCGTAGGTCTCACCTGTCAAATCTTCAATGGCACCTAAGTTGACCCATGTTACTGCCAGATAAACAAACCAGGTTAGCTCACTTTCTAGTTGAGTAAACGTGGGCAGGCTCCCTAATCTCTCTGACCCTTAGTTTCATCATCACAAAGTAGCAATTATAATCATCTCTATCTCATAGGATTCTGAAAATTAAATCAGAAAACATATATCATGAAATTGGTATATAGTTTCTGTCATACAGGAAATGCCTAATAAATGTTAGCTTTCAAGGCTGGATACAATGGCTCATGCTTGTAATCCTAACACTTTGAGAAGCTGAAGTGAGAGAACTGCTTAAGGTCAGGCATTTGAGACCAACTTGCGCAACAGTGAGACCCCCATCTTTACAAAAAATGCAAAAATTAGCTGTGTATAGTGGCACCCTCCTGTAGTACCAGCTACTCAGGAGACTGAGGCAGGAGGGTTGCTTGAGGCCCAGAGTTTGAGTTGCAGTGAGCTATGATGACCCCACTGCACTCCAGCTGAGGCAATAGGTCAAAACCCTGTCTCTAAAAAGAAATTAAATAATTGATTTTTTTAAGTTAACTATTGTTACCATCTTCATCATTAGCATAGTGCTACATGATTATAGAAATCTCTTCAATTTTTCATCCCTCACCCTTTGCAATGAGATTTGCAGCTCCTTCCATTAGGGACAAAGTCTCCATCCCTTGAATCTGAGCTGGTCTTGGCACTTGATTTGGCCAGTAGAATGGTAAAAAAATTATAGTGTACTTAGTTCTGAAACTAAGCATCAAGGGGTACTAACTGTCTTTGATCCACCATGCTAGCAAGCCCAGGCTAGCCTCTTGGAAAATAGGGGACAAATGGAAAAAGCCAGTTGACCCACCCAGGATAGTGAGTTTTAAAGTAGTTTGTTTTGCAAAAAGAGCTACTCTGCAACCTTCATCATTATTGCCTTAAGTTTACAGGACTTCTGTGAGGGAAAGGAGAGAGGACTACCTTCATTTTTTTTTTTTTTTTGAGACAGAGTCTCACTCTGTCACCTTTGGGTAGAGTGCAGTGGTGTCACAGCTCACAGACAGCTCAAATTCTTGAGCTTAAGCAATTCTCTTGCCTCAGCCTCCCAAGTAGCTAGGACTACAGGTATCCACCACAACACCCAGCTATTTTTTTAAGAGGCAAGGTCTCAGCTGGTCTCAAACTCATGAGATCAGGCAATCCACCTGCCTCAGCCTCCCAGAGTGCTAGGATTATAGGTGTGAGCCAACATGCCTGACCAAGAGTGCTGCCTTCTGAGCACCTACTCATGCCAAATATATGAATCCACTATATAAGCTTGACCATTCTTTATGTGGGGATTATTATCCCCATTTCACAGATGAAGAAACCAAGGCTTGAAGAGGAAAAGCAATGGTCTCAAAGCCACCCAGCAGAACTGGAATTCTAGACCAGATTTGTCTGAAGTCCCTCCCCTTTTCCCAAAGCTCCAGGTAGAACCCCGGGCTCAAGGGACTTACATGCATGATGTCTGCACTCTTATTGAAAATCTTCATATAGAGTTTTAGGATTTCAAAGTGGAAGGCAGGTGTCAGCAGACGGCGATGGTGGCTCCACTTGTTACCAGCACTCAGCAGGAGTCCATCCCCTAATAAAAACAGCCAAGGACAGTGGGCCAGGGCAACACCTTCCCCTGGCCCCCAAGAGTGTCCCCAACCCCCTTCACCTGCGTTACTCACCCAGCCAGGGTTTTAGGAAGCCATAGAAGGTCATATCCTTGGGTGTGACGGTAGCTGACATGAATGAGGATAGTCAAAGGACAGAAAGAGGGGTAGAGAAGGGATTTAAGGTGAAGGTAGAGGCTCCCAGACAGGGGTCTGCCCTTCCCTCTTCCAAGCCCAGCATAGCAGGAAGTGGGCCAAGGTCAGAGGAAGCAGGGAGGTGGGGGAGGTGTGTGGGACGCAGACCAGGCTGCTGCAGACACTAGAGCAAGGCCATACCCTGACACAGCACAGCACATCCCATCCTGCCTGCACATGGCTACTACATGGCCCAACACGTTCTGCAACACCTGAGCACAGCCCAACACTCCACAAGATACCTTTAGAGGGACCTAGGACACTCTGACTGCCATATCACCCCCTGGCATTTCCTGATATAGTCCTGGGACATGAGACATGACCTGACAGGTGTTACTATGTTCCTGTCAATGGACTGGAAATGGCCTGACATGACCTCAATGTGCGCCACAGATGAGCTCCAGAAAGGATTTAAATTTGGTCCTGTTAGTGTCCCAGGTGTGGCCCCGGCATAATACAGACATCCTCAGTGTTCCGCTCCACTCCCCACTAAGTGCTAAGTGCTTATGGTCAAGGCTTTTCTATACTCAAAGAAACCAGAGGACGCTACCCTCTCAGATGCTGAGCTCTGCTCACTAAGATGAGCTGCCACAACTCCCTCTAGCCTTCAGAGTAACCCGACACAGTTTATCAATCTGGGGGTTTAGTGCATCTTCCCCCACAATACTCTGGACATCTCCCTCCCAAATCACCTTTCAGCTTAAAGGTCTCTCCCATCAGAGAGACCAGCTGGGAGCTAAGAGGGCAGCCTCAGTATGCTGTGTGACCTCAAGAAGTCATTGTGACTCCCTAAGCTTCAGTTTCCTTACCCAGGAAATGGCCACCTCGTTTGGAATCTGGTGGGTAGATGTCTGTGGTGTCTCCCCATCCAGCAAACATCTTCCTTCTTTTCAAATCAGCAGCCCATCCTTATACCTCCCCTACTCTCCATCCAGGTAGTTGGGAGGGTGGACATACAATGCCAGCCTCTGTTCCAGAGTTAAGTGTGTGATTCTAAGCCTTGGCAATCAAATTGCAGTGATTGGAGAATGAATTAGGCCTGTGGGCAAGGCAATTTTAAAGGAATCCTGAGACGGACTTTTCCTAGAACTACAGGAAGTTTTCCACGGAGGTTGAGATTCTGGGACCCATCTTTACCAGCATAAGAGTGAACCCATCACAGAAAGGTATAGAACCAAGAGACAAAAACAGATTCCCAATGGCATTGCTTAAACACCTGGACCCAGCCGTGCCTGAAGGCTATCCTCCCTGGACTTTACAGTCAATAAATTCTTTCTTTGCTTAAACCACATGGGGTTGAGTTTCCATTATTCACAACTGAAAGAGACCTCAGCAGCCACAGAGAGAGCCAAGGACATACCCAGACTCACCCAGCAGGTTAGTGGCAGAGCCATCTCTATTGGATGTGTAAATTTCCCTGCTCAACCTGGCCTGTCCAGGAGTGGGAAGGCCTGGGAGCAGAGGTAGGGGAAGAGGCTAGGGGCAGGGAATAGGCTCCTGAAAGATATACCTGGGGCCTGGAGGAGGGGGGCAACAAACTTAGGATGGACAAGTCGCAGGATGGGGCAGAAGGGGCCCATCCACCAGAGGTGGACATCACGGAAGTAGTGGCCAAGATTCTCCACGAGCCGCATGCCCTCTTCATTGCTCTGGACCTGGAAATGGTAAAGGTTGATGCGAGGCCTGGCAGGGAGCCTCAGAAATTACCACTGCCCACTGTGGCCTTCTGCCCACCACACACCTCCACCCCTCTTGGCCCTTCTGCATGGATTATTGGTCTATACTCTTGCTGAATCATTTTTTCTCTGCTAGTCTTACCCCCTTCTCTCTTTCTCTAGATAGATATGTAGATAATGAATGGAAGGATGGATGGAGTGAGAAACAGGATAGATATATATGACAGACAAAAATGAGAGATAAAGAGACAGAAATACAGAGATATGGGTACATAGATTAGGATAGAATAGCTAAATATAGATAAAAGATAGAGAAATAGATATAGAGATATAGATACAAGATGGTAGATATAAATTGATAGGTGATAGATAAAGAGGACTGATAGACTCAGATGAGAAATAAAGACATATATAGAATTTTAGATACATAGATAGGTAGAGAGATAGGCAGATAAAGATAGGATGGGTGAATAGATACAAAAGATAAATATAGATATAACTAATCTCAACTCATCCAACTTTCCCTGTTGTCCCCCAATCCCAGCACAGCCTCCTGCCACTAGCCACATCCATCCCCAGCTCTGCAGCAAGTGAGCAGGGAGCAGGTGTAGATATGCCTTTTCCCCAGACCCTGACTGCACCCTAAGGACAGACTCAACATCCTGGCAAGTAACCCCAGGCTGGAGTTCACAGGAGGACACTCTGTCCCACCCTGAAGCTCCCACAACCCCTACACACGTGCCCAGGCTGGAAGCAGCTGGGAAAGACCTAAGAAGACCCTGAAAAGGGACTGAGAAGGAAGAGGAAGAAATTGGGGGAAGCCAGCCAGGGAACAAAAGCAGAGAAGGATAAAGGGGCACTATCTTAGCATGGACTCTCCAGAAGCAAAGCCTGAATTGTAGACGCTTCTACAAGTGCTTTATTGAAGGAGGTGCCCCAAAAGGAGCTTGAAAGAAAGACAAGGAAGCTGAATGGAGCAAGAGAGAAAAATCAGGCAGATCTGCTCAGCTAACATCCTTCCTCCCCTGCTCACACACCCTCCAGGGCTCCCATGGCCCTCAAAATCCACTCCCTCTCCTATCTCCCCTCTCCCTTTTTTCTGCCTCTGACCCTGATCACTCCAACAGAACCAAACTTCTCTTTGCTCAAAAACCAAGTACTCATTGTCACCTCCAGGTGGGCTAATCTTCCATACAGAATATTCTTTCTTTTCTTTGCTTAAAAACCTCCTACTCATAATTCTGGACCAACTCCAAAAACCCCTCCTCCAGAAAGCCCACATGCCTGCCCCAGTGGCAGAAACCTTGATTCCCCTCATGTCTTCCCCAGCCCTGTCTCTTCCTGGAACCAGCCCTGACTACACAAGATTTGGAGGTATCTTAGTCTACCTCTATATCTTCAAGTTTGGGGATGTCTCCCCAGGGACACCAGAATGGGGGGAATTGGCAAATAAATAAAAGAAAGAAAAAGATGACCAAGGACACCCAGAGATGCAGGGCCTTGGATTCTGCAGGGACCATTTACAAGCTGGGCAGGGAGGGATTCTGAAGCTTCAGATGGTGCCATGGTGCCCACAGCCAAGTGTTCCAAGTGGGTACTTGGGGCATCGGCAATAGGCCAGGCACCGCTGAGTGGCACAAACTAATGAGGAGAAAGATAGGGCCTAGTGACCTCTTAAAGCCATAGGGATAGGTGGCCAGCAGCCAAGTCAGGACCCTCAAGCCCTGCTCTGTGAGGCTAAGCTGCAAGGTGGTTGTCAGCTCCCCAGAAGGAGCCACAGTCCATCCCCCCTGCAGCCTCCAGAGATGGTGCTGCCTCTGTAGTGAATAGTGTGTCTGGGTTCTGTGTGGATGGAAGAAATCTCTGCTTCCTCCTGCTCCTTCTCTCTTGGGCCATATCCAAGTACATGCCAGGGTAGAGGGAAAAGACCCACTCTCTGCCCACAGGGAGGCCAAGGTAAGCTCACGAAGGCAGATCTTCTTTGTTGGAGCTGGAACAGCAGGTCGCTGGCCCCAGCCCATGAAACTGACAGCTGTACAAGCTCACTCGGGGTATGGCTCCCATAGGCGCCATAGAGCCCGTTGTCTCAGTCAGGTAAGGCTCCCCATCAGGAGGAGTTAGTTGTCGCAGTCAGGTCAGAGGTGCCTGAGCACCTCAAAGGTGCAGCGGCCAGTCTTAGTAGGAGCCTCAACTAGCTTCTCCCGTGGCTACTTACACCAGAGGTGTGGAGACTGCCAAGCAGTGATGTATGTTCTCGCATGCTCTTGCATGCTACGTGCTCTTGTGCTCTTTAACGAGAGACCAATCCCATCCCCATTCCCTTATTACCAAGGTGTTTCTTTTCAAGTGTCTCCTACACTTCTTTCCCTGGGATTGTTTCCAGAAAGAACCACAGGGGGAGGTCCCCATGGAAGAAGTTTGTGGCCAGCAGTGTGGCCTCATGATGTGTCCCCGGGGCTGGTCTCCACGTCTTTTCATGTCCTGGTTCACATGGGCTCCAGGTGCACGCTGGGGACCTTCCATTCTTGGCAGACCCCAGGAGAGCAGAGAACTCTAACTGTCCATCAGGGCAGCAGCTCTCACCCATGAGCATCTTCTGCACACCAGGCTCTGTGCACAGTGCATCCTGTACAGCCTTCCTACGAGCACATCCATTGCCCCTGCCATTACAAATGAGAAGACTGAAGCCACATCCCTCAAAGGGGAGAAGATGGGTTGGCTCCTGAAAATATGTCCTTGCTGGTCCCTTGAGATGCCCCACCTGAGCCTGACCAACTTATTCCAACACAATGAACAAAAGACATTTTCACCTTTGCAATCTGCTTCCTGTGCCCGGGAGACTGAGATGAGAATCCAAGGCACATGCTGAGAATGGCCCAGAGGGGGAGAGTAACTCAACCACGGTCACACAGCAGGAGGGGGTGGAGGAGGAAAGAGTGACCCAAATCAGGTTCCACTGTTAGCGAAGCCCTCAGAGGGGGAGGTAGGACAATAGTAACTTTATAACATTCCCACTGCCTCCAGGGCTCGCTAAGAACATTCTAAGACCTAGAATCTCAGAAAACTTTCAGGGTGAGCTTGGGACATCTCCTTCTGTGATGAGCAACAAGATTGCAAAAAGCCTCTCCCCAAGCTGAAGTTCTCATCCAAGGAGGAAAGAGAAAGTGAACTTGGCAAGGGAAGCGCTAGATGCTCAGCCCTTTGGCCTTGGCTGACCAAAGGAAGGTGACAGTAAGTTCACTCATACTTGGGACATGGCCTCAACCACTAAGTCATTAAATACCTACTATATGTGAATCCCTGGACCAGGCACTGTAGATGTAGTGTACACACACACACACACACTCACACACACATACAATGATGCCATAGAGTGGAAGAGATGGATAACAAACAGATAATTGGACAATTGACTATTTAAGCATGAGCAGGGCCAAGTCAAAGGCCAAGGTCTAGGGAATCAAGGAAAGCTTCTAGAAGGAAGTTACACTTGTGTTGAAAATGGAAGACCAGGTGTCCACAAAGGGAAGAGCTTCCAGGCGTAAGAGCAGCATGAGCAGAGTTTCTGAGGCAGGAAGGGTTTGACTCATTAAGGTGATAAAACAGAAATTCAGCACATCCAGTGGGCAGATGGAGCTAGGCAGGGCAGCAGAGCTCGGCCAGGTAACATTTAGTCTTTATCCTCAGAGTGACAGAGTTCCACCCAAGCAATGGCATGATCTAAACCAAATTTCAGAAAAGTCTCTCCAGGACTGAGGAAGTGGACAAAGAGGGCAGAAGGTACAACAAGGACTCATCCAGGAGACAGATGGCAGTGGAGGGGTCTGTGGGTGCAAGAGGATGCAGAGAGGACACTAATGGAGAGTTGTCCAGGCAGCACTACCAAACATGCTGAAGGACGGGACGTGTGAGCAAGAGAAGGAGGGGGAGACCCCAAAGTGTGGGGTCTGGGCAACTGGTGGACTAGACCAAGGGCAGGGGCAGAGTAGAAAGAGGGTCATGAGTTCAGATTCTCATTTGTTGTGATAAGGTGTTTGTGAGACCCCACACAAGCGAGGAAGGGAGGCTTGGTCCCCTGCTCAGGAGAGATGTGAACTTGGAACTCTGCCATGGAAGGAACTGATGGTCAGCTTAGCTGGAGCCATGGGTGAGGATGTGGCCTTGGGAGAGGGAGAAGGGGCTAGGGCCCTGGAGGACCTCTATATGAGGAAGGGAGACAACAGCAGAGACAGAGCACCCACGGCAAGGTCCAGCGGGACCAGAGGAAGGCAGCACAACCAAGAGAAGAGGAAGTTCTGGGAAAGACGGGGCGGTCAGCAAGTTCACAGAGCTGCCCAGGAGGTAGGCAAGGTGGGCCAGAAGGTGTCATTGGGATTTGGAGACCTGAGAATCATGGTCATCTCAAGGGAGCATGATGGGGGTGTAGAGTAAATGAGGAACTACAAAGGAAATAAAGGCAAAGAGGGAAGACAACTCTTTGTCCATGAGGAGATAACGAAGCAAGCTGGCTGGAAGTTTGGGTGCAGAATGAAGTGCACTGGAGAGGGTGGCTGGGAATTTACACGTGACCCATATGTCTTGTTTTGTTTCTTTCTCTGCATCATTGTGGAAAAAAGATAACAGAATGTGAATGATTGAGCTCATCCAAAGTAAAGGTTTTCCAGATAGCCATAAAGGAAAACCCAGTTGGTGGCCAGGCATGGTGGCTCGTGCCTGTATTCCTAGCATTCTGGGAGGCCAACGCAGATGGATTGTCTGAGCTCAGGAGTTTGGGACCAGCCTGAGCAAGAGTGAGACTCTTTCTCTACTAAAAATAGAAAAATGTAGCTGGGCATGGTGGTGCATGCTTGTAGTCCCAGCTCTCAGGAGGCCGAGGCAAGAGGATCATTTGACCCCAAGAATTTGAGGTTGCTGTGAGCTATCATGATGACATGACACTCTACCCAGGGCAAAGGAGTGAGATTCTGTCTCAAAAGAGAAAGAGAGAGAGAAGAAAGAAAGAAAGAAAGAAAGAAGGGAGGGAGGGAGGGGGAAAAAGAAGGGAAAGGAAGAAAAGAAAGTCCATTTGGCAAGAGATTTCAGCCTGTGAGCAAATGATAGGAATCCAAACAAAGATGCAGCAACGGGTGGGTTGAAAGGATGCTCTTGGAGGGTAGAAATCCAGGGGTTGGGGGTGGGGGGTAAGATGAGAAGTAAACAAGGAAGCTGGAAGGAGAGGGGGTTGTGGTCAGGGAATGCAATACTTGAATCAATAGCATAGGAGGTGGCATTCTTACACGTACAGAAAATTCTAAATATGATTATGGCAATAGGGAGCCAATGTGGCATGTAGGAAGAGCCTCTGGGGATGAGGCCAGGATGGTGAGAGCAGCATCCCTCCAGGAAGTTTGGCTGTTAGAACAGAGGCCAAAGCAATCCCTTCTGAAAGGGAAAGGAACCAGCTTTTACCCAAATTGGACAAGGGGCCCGTCAAGACATCTTGGGCATGGAAGGCAGGATAAGAGGAAAGGTAGAGAGGGAGAGCATGGCCACACCTCTCCTCTGGCCTAGCTGTGCCCTATTGGTTGGGGATAAGAGGCTCATAGAGAATTTATATGGGGAGATGTAGGTACTGGCCTGAGGTTAACAGAGGTAAGCCAAGCAGGGAGTAGACCCCTGAGGAGGCCTCAAGTCCAATGATAAAGACTGTGTACCAGCCAGAGAGTAGAAGGGAGGGTGGTCACTGCTCTGCGCAGCCCTCTCCAGGAGGCCCTCAAGGTGCACCAGTGTAGGAAGACAGACAGGGAAAGGATCCTAAGCAGCCTCAGGGTCAGGGACAAGAAGAGAGAGGCCTGGGGAGGCACAGCAGAGCAATGAGGGAGTGAGAAGAGGAATGAGGGAGCTGCCCCCTGGCTTCTCTACCCTCCCAGAGGCCAGCCCACCTCAATCCCCACCTCCCTGAGCCCCCTTCCCACTCCTTGGGAAGTCCACCCACCCTGATACGCCAGACCCATCCTGCTGCCACACTCACCAGGCCCAGGTGACCCCAAAACCAGTTCCGTTTTGGAGGCTGCGGGAAACAGCGGAGGCGGCGACAGTTGTCACAGAAGGAGTAGAACCAGGCCAAGACATAGGCCACAAGCCAGGAGGCCCCAACCAGCAACAGCAGCAGCCATGGGGAGGCTGCCACCGGCCCCAGGCCTAGCCAGGACAGGCTCAGCTGCAGCATCCTGCAAGACAGAGTGCTGGAGGAGGAGTTCCTGAGGCTCTAGAGAGGGGAAGGGAACTCCAGGCCAGTGCAGAGGGGCAGGGACAAGGAGGGCTCAGAGATGGGCAAGTAGGCGTTGAAAGGAAGGAAGAACACCCAGGGACCCCAGAGGAAGAGACAGAGTGAGAGGGGAAAGAAGAAAGAGAAAGAAAGCTGATTACAACCCAGAAAGGCCCAGCCGGAATCACTGGGACATTGCCAAGAGTTCAGTTACCCGGAAACCTCCAGTCCCCTGGGTTGGCAGCCTGGAGCCGCCCCAGTCTTAGGCACTCTCTCCTTATCCTGAGCCAGGACCCTCCAGCCCCACCACCCTCGGCCTGGCACTTCTCTCAGGAGCAGCTTATCCACACCACCTCTTCTCTCCTTCTCCTGAGACTTTGTCCCTTGCCCCTTACCTAAAGGAGGTTGGGCTTGGCTGGGCCAGCCAATCCCTGCAGGCCTAGCTGCCTCCTTGGGCATTTGGCCAAAGCATGAGGGCGGGACCAGCTGGATGTGCAGAGAGGAACCAGCTCAAAGTAACACAGTGTGGGAGCTAGATGTTTAGGGTCAGCACCTCCTGCTCAAAAGAAGGGCAAAGGTTTCTAGGTCTCTCTGGGCCCCCAAGTTTACAGCTATCCCTGCCAGGAAAAGCGTGAAGAGTGCAGGTGCCAGGTGGGCAGAGCCAGGATAAGCTTTGCAACAAAACATCTGAGCTCCTCTTCAAGCGTGGGCTGTGAGGACATTGCGCACCGTTTCCCAAAGAAGAATTAGGAGGTAAAGCCTCTGGCCCCACTGCATAGGGTGGCAGGAGTTCAAGCACTGCCTCCAGACAGCTCAGACCTTAGGTTGAAACAAGACAGCTGAGAACAGAGACAAAGACTCCATTTTCGCTGGGAATTAATACAGGTCAGACTCTGACTTTAAAGAGCCCAGAGGGAAGGGCAAGCCTGGAGGCTGGGCTCAGCATGCAGGGACAGAGGGGAGCCAAGAGGGGTAAAGCTGAGAAGTGCTGTGAGCAGACAGTTCAGCACAGGAGAGCCAAGCCAGGAGTCACTGAGTGGAGTCTTTGTGCTTCTCCTCCTTGCTCTGAGTGTGGGCAGTGGCGGCTGTCCCTGAGATCAGACCTCCCATCTAGGAAATGAGATATTAGCCTTCAAGGAAGCACATCTTGTCCAGATTTGGTCTCAAATTTCCTTGGGAGGGGGGTTATCTTAGCCCCTCTGAGGTCAGGCTCTAAGACAAGGAGGACTTTGAAGGATGGAACTGCTGAGTGAGAGAATTGGGATAAATGTTTCTCCTGCAGTTAACTGAATGTTGGAGACATGCCCAAACTTTCCCCTTATATCCACATGCCTTGTAGCCCTATCTGATCCAGTTTAACATCCTGGAGAGTCTTGGAGGAGCCTGGAATCCCCTCCCAAAAACTTGAGGTGCATACCTCTACTGGGATGGATGCAGCAGCTGGCAGGTTCATCCATCTAGAGAAGGGCTGAGGTGGGGCCAGGTTCCCCTAATCCAGTGCAGTGAGGGGCAGCAGGGCTGCCCAGATGGGCTTGGGGACAAGCAGGAAGGAAAAAGAGGAAACAGGGTAGCACGGTAACTTGCATCAGACACACAGTGAAGTAATTAAACGTTAGCACAGGTGAAACAGAATTTTGGCACATAGTAGGTGCTCATTGAATGTTTAGGGCAGAAGGGGGCTTTTGCATTCATGAGCTCTAAAACCTAAGTACTCCAAATGTGGTCTGAAGACAAGAGTAACATCTTCATTACCAGCAGCATCTTGGAAATGCAGAATCTCAGGCTCTAACCCAAACCCTCAAAGGTGAAGGCTTCAGATTCTAGTTATCAGCCTTTGTCAGATTTATGGCATGGAAGTATCTTCTCCCATTCTGAAGGCTGCCTATTTACTTTAGTTGTGGTACCCTTAGCTGTGCAGAAGCTTTTTAGCTGGATCATGTCCCATTTATTTATTTATTTTTGGTGCTCATATCAATCTGAATTTTTTTTTTTTTTTTTTTTGCAGTTTTTGGCCGGGGCTGGGTTTGAACCCACCACCTCCAGTATATGGGGCCGGCGCCCTACTCCTTTGAGCCACAGGCACTGCCCCAATCTGAAATTTTTTTTAAAAAAAACTTTCTCCTATCTCTTATCTTCCCATAAATATTTCCTTATTTGAAGTAAGAATCACAGCTACCAGCATGACTTGCTAATTCTTCAGAAAGAGATTACAAGGGCCCAATTCTTCAAGAAAACGTCTTAAAATATCTGTCTGGCTTATGGCAAAATTAGAAATTTGGGAAAGGACTTTATCTGGAACTTCGATACGACCCGAGGAGAAGGAGCTCTGGCCTCAGTCACTTCAAGTATCACAGCAGCCACTGCCTATCGGTGTTCTCCTGTGTGCCAGTTACTCAGCACTGGCATCACAAGAGCATCATGTTATTATCCCCATTTTACAGATGATGAAACTAAGACTCAGAGAGGTAACATAACTAATAAAATGTCCTGCCACTTAAAAAAGAAAAGTGATGGCTTCAAAGTCTTTTTCATTATCCTCAACAAGATGAGGAGTCTGTTTCTCTTTGCCTTGAATGTAGACAGGCCTGGGACTGCTTAACCAATCGTGCATGGTGGAGCTGGTGACATGACATCACATTTAACAGAGTGAAACATGCTGGAAAGTAACTGAGGTGGCTGTTCTGGACTTGGTGATCAGAGGGACCGATCATTAGTGAAGGACTCCTCATGAAGTGTTCCCTGAGTAGAAACTCAAATGATATGGGGGAGTTTGCCATGTATAAAGACCATCTCTCAAAGCTACACCAGGAGTGTAAAGATCCAGCACACATGCTTTCTTGCTTCAATCCTCAAACGTCACGAGTTAATCAAGGCTAGATGTGCATCAATCAAGAGACACGGGAGAAACAGGAAGTAGAGACCCTGGAGACCCAGACAGTAATTGATGAAAGATAACCCAATACTTACATCAGAAGCAGCTGTTGAGGTTTCATTCATCAAGAACTTGAAACCCAACAGGTCCCTTAGGCCACACTGAGGGCAAGATTGACTGGTGGAGCTACCAAATTCCTGACCTGGGTGGCAGCAGACCACATGAACTAGATAGGGCGGCAGAAAGCTTGGGGGGAAGCTTTGGAAAAGTTCATAACAGTGATTTTCAACTGGTGTGCCATGAAAATTTTTAAAGATCATTAATTAATTTTTGAAAGAAGTTCAAAAATGAATAGAACCTTCTCTAAAGAAGATAGACAAATAGCTAACAAACATATGAAAAAATGCTCATCGGCTCAGCACTGATAGCACAGTGGTTACGGCACCAGCCACATACACCAAGGCTGGCGGGTTCAAAACCAGCCCGGGCCAGCTAAACAACATTGACAACTGCAACAAAAAATAGCCGGGCATTGTGGCAGGTGCCTTTTAGTTCCAGCTACTTGGGAGGCTGAGGCAAGAGAATCACTTAAGCCCAAGAGTTTGAGGTTGCTGTGAGCTGTGACGCCATAGCACTCTACTGAGGGTAACATAGTGAGACTCTATCTCAAAAAAGAGAGAAAGAAAAAATGTTCATAGTCCCTAATTATCAGAGAAATGCAAATCAAAACTACCCTGAGATATCACCTAACCCCAGTAAGAATGGCCCACATCACAAAATCTCAAAGCTGCAGATGCTGGCCTGGATGTGGAGAGAGGGGAACACTTTTACACTGCTGGCGGACTGCAAACTAATACAACCTTTTTGCAGGGAACTATGGAGAATCCTCAAAGAACTCCATATGGGAACTAGACCTCCCATTTGACCCTGCAATCCCATTACTGGGCATTTACCCAGAAGAAAATAAAATTCTTTTATCATAAGGACATTTGCACTAGACTGTTTATCGCAGCTCAATTTACAATTGCCAAGCTATGGAAACAACCTAAATGCCCACCAATCCAGGAATGGATTAACAAGCTGTTAATATTATATGTATACCATGGAATACTATTCAGCCACTAAAAAAGATAGAGACTTTGCAACTTTTATATTAACCTGGATGGAGTTGAAACACATTCTTCTTAGTAAAGCATCACAAGAATGGAGAAACAAGAATCCAATGTACTCAATTCTGATATGAGGTCAATTGATGAGCTAGTACATGGTGGGAGGTGACGGAATGGGGGAGTAGAGAGAGGGAAGAAGGGAAGGGGTGGGTCACAGTGTGTGACACACCTCTTGGAGGCAGGACATAGTTATAAGAGGGACTTTATTTAACAAATGGAATCAGTGTAACCTGGTTCAGAGCTAGGCTGCCTGAGAGCTAGCTAAGGCCACAGCACTGTAGCCTGAGCAACGGAGTGAGACTCTGTCTCAAAAAAAAAAAAAAAAGGTTTTTATATGCAAGTTTTTAAAACTGAAAGAAATCATATCAAACTGTTGGGCTGGGGATGGAAAGCAAAAGCAAAAAGTGGGAGTATTTCCTTTTTAAGTTTCTACACTTACAACTTGTTCCCTGTTCATTCCATGTCCCTTAGCTGACAAGAGGCAAACACACAACTCAGAGTCAAAAAACCCATGGCCAAAGCTAGACTCGTCCACTGTTCAGCTGTATGACCTTAGGCAGGTGACTTGCCCTCTCTGAGCCTCATGTCCCTCCTCAGTAAAAAGGTCACAATGATAAGTCCATGGGAATTAGAGGAGAGAACCAACATGTGTATCTTAGTTTGGATTCCCTGGAAGTGGACCCTGATGCAAGGGATTTGGGTACAAATACTTTATTTGGAGATGATCCTAAGACAAAATTTTAACTGCCAGTTTCTTTGGGAGGTGATCCAAGGATATACCAGTAGGGTAGTGGGGAGGTGAAACTGGAAGGAAGCTGAGGCGGGAGGACCACTTGGGCAGAGCTCAGGAGTTTGAGACCAGCCTGTGCAAGAGCAAGACTCTTTTTCTACTAAAAATAGAAAAAACAATTAGCTGGCCATTGTGGCAGGTGCCTGAAGTCCCATCTATTCGGGAGGCTGAGCCAGGAGGATTCCTTGAGCCTAAGAATTTGAGGTTTCTGTCAGCTATGACCATGCAATAGCACTCTACCCATGACAACAGAGTGAGACTCTGTGTCAGAAAGAAAGAGAGAGAGAGAGAGAAAGATAGACAGACAAAGAGGAAAAACACAGCAGTTAAGGGAACTTACTTGAGGACATTTCCACTGTGGGCAGCTGAGGCTCAGCCTTGCCTGGTACCTCCAGGAAACAGCACAGAACATGCACCTCAGAGTGATCCCAGAGTGAGCAAACATGTATTTATCTGCCGATACCCACAATTACTCAGAGATTATTTCCAAGGGCATTATTTCTCCATAATACCCTGCCAGTGCTTCCAAGGGGCAGGGGCCCTGGCAGTGGCTCTGGCAATGAGCAGGAACACAGCATGTGTCCCAATATACACATGTAGGCAAACTTATATACATTCACATGAATACACATGCGTGCGTAGTCAGTCACACCCACATATATTACATATACATGCATGCATACACTCCAACACATGCACACATAGTCACTCAAATGCACGTGCAGTCACACACACAGTCACACTCAAACACGAGTGCACGAGCTGAACTAATCAAAAATGGACTCCTTAGAGCCTGTTGTCTCCAAACCATCCAGTAGAGGGAGCATCCTTCACACTCAGAAGAGAAAAGAGATTCCCACAGCAGCTGAGTGAAAGGACCAAGCCTGGGTGTTTTGAGATTGACTCTCGCAGGTATAGCAGAGTCCTGGGGAACCACAGACCACATGCTCTCTCTCCTTACTCTCATTCATTTACCCTCAGGAACCTTAGTGGAAATTCAATGCGCACTACAAGCATGATAATCCTGGAAAGTCACACGACAAAGGAAAACTCAGGTGCGGAGATGGGCAATCACATGCCCAGAGCTACCACTCTGAGGTCTCAGTTTCCACCTCTGTTAAGTAAAATTATAGGCTGTGTGTGGTGGCTTATACCTGTAGGGGACAGAGCCACGCTTGAACCTACACATGTCCCCTCTCAAAACCAAGATTTTTTGCTGGCATATGGCAGTTGCAATGAGGGAGGCAGGAGGTGTTTGACTCATCATGTGCTCTTGGAACCCCTAAATCGGGACAGAGGTGTGGAAGAGGCAGCATAGGCAAAAGCCAGTTGGTGCTCATACGTTTCACATTCAGCCCAGGAGTTTCTTGACAGGCACAATCCCAGCAGGTGCCACCTCCCTCAGTGTTCCTCCCCTTGGCCTTCACAGCTAATCACCTCAGTCCACACCTTTCTTGTCTTGACCTCAGCTTCCCTCTTTCCTAGAATCCAAACTCCAATCCTCCACCCTCAAAAAAGCCACCTGCATGCCAGCCCCAAATCTGACCATGTCCTGCCATGACCCTGCTCACACACCCCTCATGGCTCCCTATTGCCCTCAGTAGAAAGCCTGTGAATTTGGCCCATGTCCATCACCCTTCCTCCACTCTGCCCCAACTCCTCAGATCCAACCACTCCAGCTTTTTGCGAATTCCTTGAGCACACTGCACTCTCCCTCAACTCAGAGCATTTGCAGCAATGAGCAGGAGTACAGCAGGGGGTGGTGCTTTGAAGCACTTGTCATGGCTTGTAGATAAACATTTACATGCATATTTGTTCAATATGTCTCCAACCCTCTGCTGAGGCAGGAATTGGTCTTATAGACACTCTTGGCCCAGCGCCAGCAGATAATTAATAAGTGATCTGTTGAGGAAATAATGAAATGCATGGCTGTCCCAAAAAATCTGAGTTTATGTCCTAAGACAAATGGCTTCCCAGCCTCATAGCCCACAATTACTTCTCATCTGTACAGAGTCCTTCACTTACTTCTCATCTGTCCAGAGCCCTTCATACCTGTGTAGGGCTGCAGGTATAAGAGGCTGGTTGAGTTGGGGTGAATCCCTTGCTTTTATTCTACAAAAATCAGAACATTCACCAAAGGGCCTTTGTACAAAGGAGGAAGGAAGGGGCTTGCAAGGGTCTGGGTTTACAAAACAACAAAAGCAAACAAGCCGAGTCCTGGGATGCAACCTGAGCAGTCCACCCCTATGAGCTGAGAGCCTCAGGAGGGTGATGTCACGGGTTCAGGGCTCTGACCTCGGGCTCCAGTTTCCAAGTCCTCAATTTAGAAGTCACCCTGGTAGGTCCTGAGTCAGAGAGGTGGGTCTCGGGTTCTCGTCCTCAGAAGGTTCAGTAGGACCTGAGGAGCTGGAGCCTCAGGACCGAGGCCCAGGAAAACCTCCGTATTCTAGGGGTGAGACTGAGTCTGGGGTAGTGGCCAAGTCTGGTCCCTCAAGCAGGACAGGTGCAGGAACTCAGGGGGCGGGATCTAAACCTCAAGGAGCCAATGGAACCCTCAGGGGGAGGATCCTCTCTTTGAGCAGGGTGGCAAACGCGGTCAAGTTGCTAGACTACAGAGTCTGGTCCTGCAGGACTGAGCCTGGACTTCCAAGGGAGTGGTCTATTCCCTCGGGATGTCACAGGCGGGGCCTGGGCCTTTCTGGCTGGTGCCTGGATCCCCAGGATTCGCAGAAGCACCCCTTGCTCAGGCCCGCGGAGATAGCGGCTCCACATTGAGCCAGATGCCACTCTCCGTGCGCAAGATGAGCTCCGGCTTCCGCCGCACCTTGCGCGTTCGGTCCACGCTCAGGCGGAAGCGTAGCAGCGTTAGCGCTACCACCACGCGCATCTCGGCCATGGCGAAGCTCTGTCCGATGCAATTCCTGCAGGAAAGGGGACAGGGCTCAGGCCCAGCTGCAGTGTGAATGGGGCAGGGGAAGGGTAGATCTCTGGGCCTCATATGCCTCTCTAAAATAAGGCAGGCATCCTGCGCTGCCTGGAATGGGGGTTAAAGTGAGACCACAAGAATTGCTAAAATTAATGTGACTTTGGGGTCGAGTGTGGTTGAATCCTGGCGCAGCCTCTTACTAGCTGTGTGTCCTGGGTTAATGACCTCCCCATCTGAGCGTCAGTTCTCTCATCTGTAAAACTGGGGACAATGATGTGGTACAGACATTAGGAACATTGAAGACCAGAGCTCTGAGTTGGGCACACAGTAGATGCCCAATACCCAGTAACGCCATAGCAGAGTCTGCTTTTAGGGTGACTTCTTCGTGCACTAGGGGGATGCAGAGAAGATGTTGGGCTGGTGAGTGAGATGTGGACTCTGCTCCTGACCAAATCAACCCTGACCTTCCACTTGTTCTCTTCCGCCCACATCTGGTTTGGACTGGGGAAAATCAATGAGTTACCTGGGTCCTGCAGAGAAGGGTACATAAGCCAGTGGGGAGCGCTGCTGTGGGTTTTCTGGGTCAAAGCGGTAAGGGTTGTACACCTAGGCAGGAGCAGACTGGGGGTGAGTCTGGGGACTGGCTCTCTCCCTCAGCCTCTAGAGACCAGCTCAGGTGGCTGGAGAGCACCTCAAGACCCTACACTCACTACAATGCAACCACATCCATGTCCTTCCATTGTTCAAGCACACTCAGCCCATTCCCACCTCAGGAACTTGGCACTTGCTGTTTCTTCTGCCTGGAACACACTTCTCCCTGTTCTTTATACCTTTGGGTCCCAGCTCAAACATTCCTTCCTCTATAACCAACCACCTGAGCTAAACCACCCACCCCCATGAGTTTTTCTTTCTTTCATGCATTTATCAATACACAAAATAATTTTTTTTCTGAGATAGTGTCTCACTCTATCTCCCAGGCTAGAGTGCCATGACAGCCTCGCTCACAGCAACCTCAAACTCCTGGGCTCAAGCGATGCTCCTGCCTCAGCCTCCCCAGTAGCTGGGACTATAGGCCCCCACCATAATCCCTGGGTAATTTTTCTATATTTAGTAGAAACATGGTCTTCCTCTTGCTCAAGCTAGTCTCAAACTCTTGAGCTCAAGTAATCCACCCACCTCAGCTCATGCTAGTATTACAGGCATGAGCTACTGCACCTAGCCCCAAAATGATCTTATTTGCTTATTTCCTTTCCCTGAACTTCACTGTGAGCTCCATGAGGGCAAAGACAGTATCATCTTCTGTCCTCACTGCCCATCACAGGCCCAGGCACACAGTAAGTGCTCAGTATATGTTTGTCAACTAGTCAAATAATGAATAGGTGAATATATAGGGGATGCTCCGTCAAAGTGGTAGGGGTAAGAGCCCTGGTGTCTGGCTCCCTGACTGGCCCTGCTGCTCCAGTGCTGCCCTTTCTGGGGAGGAATGAGCTGAGAGGGCAGGGAGGGTTGGAGGGGCAGGAGCTCACCTTGGAATCAGGCCACACTGTGGGGTTGTGGTGGGTTCCATAGATGCTGACCAAGCAGATGATTCCTGTGAGGAGAGTTAGGGTCAGCAGACCAAGTGAAATCAGAGCTTCTTCCATAAACCTCCCCTTTCCTGTGTCTCCCTGAAGCCATGGCATTCCCATGTGCCATCTGCCCTCATTGCCTGTCCAGCCTTCCCTGAAAAAATTCTACTGTCCAATCCACTCCCCCATCTTTCTCTAAGAGGACCACATCATTTTCTTTCTGTCTGCCATGCCACAGAGGGATATTTCTCACCCACAGATCTGATATTGTTCCTCCTCAGCTCAAACACCTCCCTTGGCTCCCTACTGCCCTCAGGATTGAGTTCAAGCACCACCATCTGGCAGTCAAGGCCTTTCATAATCTGTACCCTGAGGCCCTGCTCCATAAACATACCTACTCTTACCTTCCCAACCTCCAAGGATCACATCCTCCATTCTCTCGTCCAGAAAGCCCTCCCTGCTTTACTCCCTAGACAAAGCCATCTCTCTGCGTATTTGAGCTGCTTCTAGCTGGTGGGGAACCTGCAGTCTTGGGACCACATGTGGCCTTCTGTGTCCTTAAGTGTTTTGATTGAATCCAAATTTTACGGAACAAATCCTTTTTTTGTTTTTGTTTCTGTTTTTGTTTTGAGACAGAGTCTCACTTTCTCACCCTCAGTAGAATGCTGTTGCATCACAGCTCACAGCAACATCAAACTCTTAGGCTCAAACAACCCTCTTGCCTCAGCCTCCCAAGTAGGTAGGATTATAAGTGCCTGCTGCAATGCCTGGCTAGATTTTCTAATTTTGGTAGAGACAGGATCTCACTCTTGCTCAGGCTGGTCTCCAACTCCTGAGCTCAGGCAATCCACTGGCCTCAGCCTCCCAGAGTCTTAGTGTTACAGGCATGAGCCACTGCACCTAACCAGAAAAAATCCTTTTAATAAAGGAATTTGTTCTGTGAAGTTTGGATTTGGTCAAGTGCCACACTTGGGGATCTGGAGGGCCACGTGTGGCCTTGAGGCTATAGGTTCCCCACCTTTGAAGGGACCTAGGGATGAAGCCGTTTTAGATCTCCAGCATCACCCAGGACAGGGCTGATCTCCAAAGGATATTTAGCAAGTGAATGAAAGTGATCCTCCCCTACCTGCACCTTCATAGTGCCAACACTGCCATACTGCCTTCCCACCTTTCCACCAGGACTCATCCATGTCAACCACACACACACACACACACACACACACACACACTGAGTTTCCCGTAACTCCCCCAAAGCAACAGACACATAGAAAGCTGCTCCATCTATAGGGATAGTGCACATGGGGCAGGCGTGGTCAGGCCCCCCTGGACAACAAAGCAACCACATCATCAGGGATAGAGCACATCATCAGAGGGCACATGGTGGGCACCTTTGGGTATGATGCGGCCATCTGGGAGCTTGATGTCCTCCGTGCAGCGACGAGAGATAAGAGTCACGGGTGGGTACTGACGCAGGCTTTCCTTGATGCACATAGTTGTGAAGGGTAACTGAGTCAAGTCATCCCTGGAAAGAATGAAACTGTGACTTAAGGCCAAGCCACAGTGACCTTCCCACAAACACACACTCTCAAGGGCAGCTGGGCAGGTTCTCTTTTGAAGAAACTTCATAGCTGGGTGCAGTGGCTCATGCCTGTAATCCTAGAACTCTGGGAGACCAAGGCAGGTGGATTGTTTGAGGTCAGGAGTTCAAGATCAGCTTGAGCAAGAGTGAGATCCCATCTTCACCAAAAATAGAAGAGAAAAAAAATTAACTGAGTGTGGTGGTATGCACCTGTAGTCTCATTTACTGAGGAGGCTGAGGCGGTAGCCTCACATAAGCCCAGGAGTTTGAAGTTGCAGTGAGCTATGATTGTGCCACTGCATTCTAGCCTGGGTGACAGAGAAAGACTATCTCAAAAATAAATAAATAAACACTTTATGTTGCTACCACAAGGGGCAAGCGGTAACCCTAGTGTAAAGCTTCCATACATACAAATACCACTGCAAAAACAGAAAAGTGTTATTAAATTGTAGCGAGATAACATCTCTTACTCAACTCTTCAAACCTGAAGCATCTCCCTTTATTACAAAGGCAGATTTTCTGGGCAAGGTGGCTCATGTCTTTAACCCAGATACTCAGGATACTGAGGTAGGAGGATTGTTTGACACCAGGAGATTGAGACCAGCCTGGGCAACATAGCAAGATTCCCTTCTTCCAAAAAAAAAAAAAATGTTTAAATACCTGGGTATGGAAGAATACCTGTAAGTCCCAGCTTTTTGGGATGATCAAGCAATATAGCAAGACCCTATCTCACAAAAGGAAAACAAAAAGGGCAGATTAGCAAAGTGTATGAATGCAGTAGCACCAAACTGAGAGTCTCTCTTTGAGGTCATAATGCAAAAGGTTGAAAGAGCACAGAAAAGAACTTTCTCATTGTGCAAGTTGATGCTTTTAAATACTGTGTTTTCCCTGCTTCCCCCAGAATCAGCTCTTAGAGCAGACATCTAAAAAAGACTGGATTATTGTTGCTCATTCTCCACTTCCCCCTGCATTAGAACCACGCACCTGTGCTCTTTGCTATATAATCATATAGCAGTGACTATTCTGTAGTGACTTTTGCTTGGTGAATGGTGTATATGCTCTGCCCCATTCATATTGGCCTTGGATATGTGACTTGCTTTAGTCAATGCCATGGTATGGTTTTAAAGAGCTTTTAAATTGTGTGGCTTTTTTGTGCTTTTGGAATCTGCCTTGAGAAGAATGTGACCCAGCGTAGCTGTGGGTCCAAGAACAGATTCGAACCCAACCCTTAGTTTGGAAGCAACTCTACTTTGATCGGCCAAGCCCAGCAGCAACAAGAGTAATGTGCAAACAAAAGAAAGAAATAGGCTTGGTGCCCATAACTCAGTGGTTAGGGCACTGGCCACATACACCGGGGCTGGCGGGTGTGAACCCAGCCCAGGCCTGGTAAACAACAATGACAACTACAAAAAAAGAAAGGAAGGAAGGAAGGAGGGAGAGAGGAAAGGAGGGAAGGAGGGAGGGAAGAAGGGAGGGAGAGAAGAAGGGAAGGAAGGAAGGAAAAAGAACAAAAGAAGAAAGAAAGAAGCTTGTTGCAAACCCCTAGATGCAAACTTGAGTTTGGGAGATGTTTGTTATGCAGCATTATTGCAACAATTGTAACTAGAACATTCTGAGAAATCCTGCATTAGGAGCTAGACATAGGCCTTATTATCAGTACCATTTTTACTGTGGAAGACACTGGAATTCAGGAAGCTTATATGATTTGTCTAAGGTCATCAAGTAAATTAGAGAGCAAAGACTCACACCCAGGATTCTGGCCTCGACCTGCCCCCACCATTTCCCTACCCCAAACTGACCATTCCAGCTCCTCTAGCTCCCGGCCTTTCATCACTTCCTGAATCTCTTCCCGACACTTTTCCTGGAATTCTGGGTGCTTTGCCAAGTTGAACAGCACCCACGAGAGCCCACTGGATGTTGTGTCGTGACCTGCAGGCAGATGAGGTCATCTGAATGGAGGCTGCCTGAAGACAGTGCAGATGCTATCTACAGACAATGGTGCACCTCCTGCCCTCCCTTGGCTTTGCCCTATGTCCTCACCCTCGAACATGAAGGTGTCCGCCTCAGCTCGGATGTCCTCGTCTGACAGTTCCTTTCCATCTTCATCCTGGAATGGGCAGTAGAGGATGCTCAGCCCGCTTTATCCCACCCTCTGCATCCCAGGAGCTCCTCAAAAGTCAGATATCTCCCCCTCTCCTAACCCAAGCTGTGGGGCAAAGTATTCCATGCAGAGGGAAATATGCAACTTATCTAAGAAAGGTGGAAAGAGGGAAGGAGAGTCAGAAGTGACCTCATTAAGTTGAGACGCTTCTCCTAGAGGCACAACAACAATCTTGTGATCAAGTCTTATGATCACCATGGTACAAATGAGGAAACTGAGGCACAGAGAGTTGAGTAATATAACCAAAGTCAAACGTCCACTAAGTAGACAGGATGAGGTGGCTCACATCTATAATCGCAGCACTTTGGGAGGCTAGGGTGGGAAGATCACTTGAGGCCAGGAGTTCAAGACCAGCCTGGCCAACATAGCTAGACCCCATTTCTACCAAAAATTTTAAAATTAGCCAGATGTGGTGGTCCATGCCTATAGTCCAGGTACTCAGGAGGCTGAGGCAGAAGGATCACTTGAGCCCTGGAGTTCAAGGTTACAGAGAGCTATGACCACTGCACTCCAGCCTAAGTGATGGACCAAGACCCTGTCTCTAAAAGTGGCAGGGCAGGACTGGAATTCATTCTCTGAATCCAGAACTCAAGTGCTGCTCAAAAATTCCACAAAAATGCCACAAATGACCATACACTTATGCACATGTCACCTCTCTTCAAGGTCACATATTTCATCATTGTTATTGTTATGGGCTGAATGATACCCCATCGCTTAGAATTTAAAAGTCCTAACCCTCAGTACTGCAGTATGTTCAGAGGTCATCAAGTTGAAAATGAGCTTGTTAGGGTAGGCCCTAATCTAATATGACTGGCATAATTATAAGAAAAGATTAGGACAAAGATTATGGACAAAGAATAGATGATGTACAGACATAGGGAGAAGATGGTTATCTACAAACCAAGGAGAGAGGCCTAGTACAGATTCTTCCCTCAGAGCCCCTAAAAGAAATCAATTGTGCAGATGCTTTGATCTTGGCCTTCTAGCTTCCAGAACTATGGGAGAATAAATTTCTCTTGTTTAAGGCTACCCAGCCTGGGGTGACTTTGTATGGAAGCCTGAGCAAACTGATACAGTAAGTCTTTTTATTTATTTATTTTCTTAGAGATAGGGTCTCATTCTGTAGCCACGACTGGAGTGAAGTGGTATGATCTTACCTCACTGCAACCTCAAACTCTGGGTTCAAGCCATCCTTCTTCCTCAGCCTCCTGAGTAGCTGAGACTATAGGTGTGCATCACCATGCCCAGAATGTTTTTCTATGTTTTGTACAGATGAGGTCTCACTGTGTTGCCCCAGATGATCTCAAACTCCTGGCCTCAAGCAATCCTCTTGCCTTGACCTCCCATAGTGCTGTGATTATAGACATGAGCCCCCAAGCCAGACCCTATGTAAGTTTTAACATTTATCATTTCACAGACTTGGTGCCATTCCTAGGGAGGCTGTACTGGGCAGGGCTCCACTTCCAAGGGATCATCCTCACCTTGGCCAGGAGCAACACATCAATGAAGTCCAAGGTCTTGCCCTGCTTGGCCTTCAGCCAGGCCTCGGCCCCCTGCTGGTGCAGAGCCCAGCGCCTCTCCTGGATGACGTCAGTGGTGAAGCGGTGCACAGTGTCACAGGCCTGCCTGAAACGCCACCCGTCCGCCGTGCGGTAGTAGATGAAGTCCAGGTAGTGGTGCAGGTGATATTGGCGTTTGACAGCCAGTGCACTCAGCTCAATGATGGCTGAGATATAATCACTCATCTTCCTGCCACAGAGAAGGACCATGAGCATGAATCCAGCCCCTAGCCCAGCCCAGCAAGACCCACAGCTTGGCTAAGATAAGCCTCCTTTCTTGGCTTAGTGCCCATAACACTGTGGTTATGGCACCAGCCACATACACAGAGGATGGAGGGTTTGAACCCGACCAGGACCAGCTAAACAACAATGACAACTGCAACAAAAAATAGCCAGGCGTTGTGGTGGGTGCCTGTAGTCCCAGCTACTCTACTTGGGAGGCCGAGGCAAGAGAATCACTTAAGCCCAAGAGTTTGAGGTTGCTGTAAGCTGTGATGCCATAGCACTCTAACCTCTGTCTCAAAAAAAAAAAAAAAAACCCTCCTCTCCCCATTAGGCCATTAGGCAGATAACAAACAGAAGCCCTGTATTAACTCTCTTTGGGGGTGCGGGTGTGTGAGAAGGGTTGGGCATTGGGGGGATTCGTTGGTTTATTTTGATGACATGGCTTCACTCTGTTGCCCACACTGGGGTACAGAGGCATCCTTATGGCTCACTGCAGCCTGGAATTCCTGGGCTCAAGTGATCCTCCTGCCTTAGCCTCCCCAGTAGGTGGCACATGGCACCACACCTAGCTAATATAAAAAAAAAAAAAAATGGGCTCTCCCTATTTTGTCTAGACTAGCCTGAGGAACTTATGGCCTTAAGCAAAACTCCTGCCTCAGTCTACCAAAGTGCTGGGATTACTGGCATAAGCCACTGTACCTGGTCTATTTTCTTTTTTAATATTTTTATTTGACACCTATTTACTTAGTCATTTATGTTAGAGACAGGTCTCATTCACCCAGGCTGGTCTTGAACTCACGGGCTCGAGCAATCAATCCTCTTGCCTCAGCCTCCAGAATCACTGGGACTATAGGCACAAGCCACTATGCCTGGCTATTTTTTGTTTGTTTGTCCTTTGTATTCTTGATGTTCTGGTATCTTGGACATTGCTAACTAGGGAAAGATGCTCCTTGAAGGACTAGCCAATTCTTTTTTTTTTTTTTTTTTTTGCAGTTTTTGGCTGGGGTTTGGTTTGAACCTACCACCTCCAGTATATGGGGCCAGCACCCTACTCCTTTGAGCCACAGGCACCTCCAGGACTAGACAATTCTTAAAGAGAGAGAAAAACTCATCCTGGCTGGACTTGGTAGCTCACACCTATTATCCTAGCACTCTAGGAGCCTGAGGTAGGAGGATCAGTTGATGTCAGAAGTTCAAGACCACCCTGAGCAAGAGCAAGACCTATTAAAAACAGACAAAACTTGGCTCGGTGCCTGTGGCTCAAGTGGCTAAGGCGCCAGCCACATACACCTAAGGTGACAGGTTCGAATCCAGCCCGGGCCCGCCAAACAACAATGATGGCT